AGTTCCTGGGCTCCCTGTGAACTGACTAGAAGCTTTGTTTTATGACTGGTAGATGAGAATAATCGAATCCTTTCAAATCGAAAAATATTATTGAAATATTCACTAGCAAAACAACATAAACAGAGATGTTTGGAAATCACTTTGAGTGAAATTGTTGTTTAATATTTCTTTTCCAGCTATATACATAAATAAGAACGTTGCTTCTTACTAGTTTGTGCGTATCACGTGCATCATTTGACTACAATAATATTACGTTGCATAACGTTTTTACAGAAGTCAGGCATTAATGAATAGTAGTTCGGTTGTCAGATACATTTTCTTCTACTCTTTGTAGTACGTTTTCAGATGACAAAAAGCGGGAAAATGGTGTTGCGCAGTGATATGATTGACCACAAAATTGAAAGCGCAAAGATCTATGGGAAGGAGATTGGCATTGTGTACGTCGATACGAGTCCCATATCGAACGGGACATGGCGCAACGACCACCGTCCTTTAACCTTTCTAATATAATAAATAAAAGCACAGATGCCAGTTGTGCTAATAATATCTGTTCAATCATTTGTGAACATACTGACATGTCAATATCAATGGCAATGACACCCATGCAAAACAAATGTGTCAGCTCCATGGCTTTCACAAATTATGCTCGTGTAGAACAGATTTTCTAACTTTTAATTTTCACTTTATTTTATTTCGTATCAAACTATATTCTATGCTCCAAATACAAAATGCCTCGGAAAAATAGACGTATACTTTTTCTCCATAGCCAGTCAGTATACGTGTTCAATATATACCCCGTCAAGTACCAGTGACCAAATGATATTCCTAAATGGGTAAATATAGTAATTAAATACATCTAAAACTAAATTGGATCTTGAATCATCTGAATAGGCTGGAGTCCTCCGGGGGGGGGGGTCTCTGAATAAAATATGGTACACAAGCTGAAGAAAAAAAAACGCGTAAAATGAATGTTAGTTATTTGACGCGTATATAGTAATAAAGTGTGAAGAAAGGAATCTCATGAATTCATGTTACCTCAACTTTGAAACAGTGTGATTTTAGTATGTATATAGGGTATCTATTTTAAGTTTCTGCACTTGAAAAGGGGTATAATTTCACAAAAATAAGTACGTGTTTAGAGGCTTTTTTGAAGAGCTATACTTCAGCATGGGTGCCAGGTTTGACTTGGAGTACCCCCCCCCCCCTTGGGTGATAAACAAATACCTTCTACGCTGATCGTTTGAGATAATGTTGTGTCAGATCCCGTGGACATAACTGATGTTCAAAACGCTCAGAGACAAAGGGTCTTTATGCGATATTTGATCTTTTATTATTATTCCCAATATGGCCACGATTTGCTGCGTATTATCAACATTATTTTCATTTTGTTCAATATTTTATATACTTTTTGCTATGGTTGAATCAGCACTATCACTATCCGCAGCAATTTATCAATTATTCAAGTTTTAAAAACGTATGTAGGTGTAGCAAAGGTATTGTGTACTTTATAAGATGTTTTCAGTAAGCCTTTGAAAGGAAAACATATATTTTACATGATTTATACAAGTTTTATCAGGGGAAAATATAGTAAGGTTACATATTTAGCTGCTAATTATTTTCGCTTATAAATATTAATAAAAAAAACAAACTAACTCAATGACTATTTAAAATATGGAAGTACTGTTTTCTTAATACATCAGTGCATTTAAAATATAATAAATATCCTATTAATATCAAATTATCTTTCATTAAACGCAGTGCGTATTTCTTTTTGTGATTACCGACTAATAAATAATTAATATTTCATAACATTCCAATATGTGCATTTGCAAAAACACTACATCTGATCAATAATAGCTCATATATATAAGGCTGTTTTTCTAAAGTGCGTAATCTGATCGATCCATGGCAACATTT